GTACCTCGTTTTGGAGTCGGCTAGGACCTCACTGACAAAATAAATCGGTCGCTGGACTTTTTGGACATGGCCTTCTTCCTCGCGCTCAACGACCAAGACTGTGCTCACAACCTGGGAGGTGGCTGATACATACAGCAACAACGGCTCCTGCGGGTGTGGTGAGGCTAGGACTGGTGGCTCGGTGAGGAGTTTTTTGAAATCTTCAAAGGCCTTCTGTGCTTCGGGTCCCCACTGGAAATCATCTGTTTTCTTCAGTAGCTTGAAGAAGGGCATCCCCCGCTCGCCAAGTCTTGAAACAAATCGGCTGAGCGCCGCCATGCATCCAGTCAGCTTCTGAACATCTTTCTGGGTACTTGGCGGTTTCATGTTGAGGATAGCAGTGACTTTCTCCGGGTTGGCTTGGATGCCCCTATGAGACACCATAAAGCCAAGCAGCTTCCCTGACGGTACTCCGAAGGTGCACTTTTCAGGGTTCAATTTCATCCTGAAAACACGGATGCTCGCGAAGGTTTCTTCTAGATCCAAGATCAAATCATCCTTTTGCTTGGTCTTGACGACTACATCATCCACATAGGCTTCAACGTTGCGGCCGATCTGCGTTGAGAAGCATCTTTGGATCATACGTTGATAAGTTGCTCCTGCGTTTTTTAGTCCGAACGGCATGGTGACATAGCAATAAGCTCCAAAGGGCGTGATGAATGAAGTCTTCAAGCAGTCGGATTCCTTCAGTCGGATCTGATGATACCCCGAGTAGCAATCCAGAAAACTGAGAAGCTCACAGCCGGCGGTTGAGTCAACTACCTGGTCAATGCGAGGCAACCCAAAAGGATCTTTGGGACAAGACTTGTTGAGGTCGGTATAATCAACACACATGCGCCATTGCCCTGTTTTCTTCCGAACTAGAACCGGGTTAGCCAGCCAGTCGGGATGAAGGACTTCTTTGATGAAGCCTGCCGCTAACAGCTTGGTTAATTCCTCCTTGATCGCGTCTTTCCTGTCTTGTGCAAATCGGCGGAGTCGTTGTTTGATAGGCGTTGCATCTTCTTTGACATGTAAGGAGTGCTCAATCACCTCTCTAGGAATACCGGGCATATCAGATGGTTTCCACGCAAAGATATCTTTATTGTTCTGAAGAAAGGTGATGAGCGCGCTTTCCTATTTACAATCTAACTCGGCGCCTATTACAGCAGTTTTAGTAGGATCAGAGGGATCTAGGGGAATCTTCTTAGTTTTGGCTTCGCTTTCTCCACTCTTTGAAATCTTGGTAGCGGGCACTTCTCCTTCGCTCGCCGTGGCTGCAGCCAGTCGGATATCCTCTCGGGCAGACGCCATCTCGCGAGTTTGGGCCATGTCGCAACTCTCCTTGTCGCATGTGACGGCTTGCTTGATGTCGCTCCGTAGGGATAGGACTCCTCGGGGACCAGGCATCTTCATCATCATGTAAGTGTAGTGCGGGACGGCCATGAACTTGGCTAACGCCGGGCGTCCGAGTATGGCATGGTAAGCTGTCTCGAAATTGGCGACTTCGAAGCTGATATTCTCTGTGCGAAAGTTTTCCCGAGTGCCGAAAGTGACCGGGAGGGTGATCTGGCCGAGTGGAGTTGCGGATAATCCTGGAATCACTCCGTGAAAAGGCGCATTGCTTGGTTTTAGCTCGGAGCGAGGGATCTGCATATCATCCAAGGTCTTGGCGAAGAGGATATTGAGTGCGCTGCCACCGTCGATGAGGGTTCTGCGAAGCTTGACATTACGGACCACTGGGTCTAGTACCAGGGGGTACCGCCCCGGGTGGACCACTCGGTCAGGATGATCCGAGCGGTCAAACTTGATTGCAATCTCTGACCATCGAAGATATTGGGGCGTGTCGGGCTGAACAGCATTGATCTCCCGTTCAGTCAACTTCTGCTTCCGTTTAGACTCATAAGCCAGGGGGCCGCCGAAGATATGGTTGAGCTCCTTGCGGTGATCTTGAAAACCTGCCGGGGTGTCGCCGTCGTCTTTCTTCCTTGACGTGCTTTGTTCTTCGTCGGAGTTCTTCCGTGCAGTCTTGGTGTATTGATCCGCGAATTGCTTGTAGACGAAACAATCTTTGGCCACGTGGTTGGAGTTAGGATGGTGCGGGCATTGGGAGTTCATGATCTTGTCGAACGTGTTGACGCGCGAACGCTGTCGAGAAGAGTGACTGGCGGTTGCAACAAGTTCCGCAGGCTTACGCTTGCGATCCTTATGATTGTTACTTCCACCTCCTCCCGTAGCCGGCGTACCCTTGTTTTGCTTCCAACTGGGACCCGACTGCTTTGATGCGGTGACGGCGTCTTCAGCTTTGGCGTACTCGTTGGCTTTTTCAAACATGAGCTTGACTGTCCTGGGAGGCTTACGCCCAAACTTGCCGACTAGTTCTTCGTGGCGAATCCCTTTGGTGAACGCGGCGATGATGACGTCGTCGGTAATGTCGGAGATCTTGTTACGTTGTTCAGAAAATCGCCGGATGTAATCTCGAAGGGATTCTCCGGACTTCTGAATGACGTTGTAGAGATCATATTGTGTGCCGGGACGCTCGAAGGTGCCTTGGAAGTTGGCGATGAAGTGGTCGCGTAGTTCGGCCCAAGATCCAATTGTACCGCGGGGCAATCCATGGAGCCAAGATCGGGCGGAATCCGCTAAAGCCACTGGTAAATAGTTCGCCATGGCCTTGTTATCTCCTCCTGCTGCGCGGATTGCGAGACCGTAGACGGTAAGCCACGATTCGGGGTTAGTGGTGCCGTCATACTTCTCTATTCCAGTCGGTTTGAAGCCGGCTGGCCAATCCACTCGACGCAGGTCGTCGGTGAAGGCTGCTACTCCGTCAAGGTCGTCGTCGTGGCGGTCCGGCGAGTGATGGTAGCCTCGAGCTGCTCGGCGCTGTATGATTGTGTCGCGAAGATCGATGGGGCGGCGACGAGGTGGTGAGCGAGGCCGTTCCACTCGGCGCTCCCTATGAAGGTCGGGAGGTGAGTGAACAGACCGCTCGTCGTGACCCCTGCTCCTGCGGTTGGATCCTGCGCCGGTGATGCTGAGGCTTGGATGACGGTAGTCATGAGATCGGAAGTGGGGAACTCGGCTGCCAGTCGGCGTGTGGACGCTTTCGGAGTTAACTGGGACCGAGGCCGCAATCATGGTCTTCGTCTGGTTCAAGATGTTGACGACGTGGTCGGATCGATTGAGCTCGTTTTGGTTGAGGAGGGTGTCGAGAAGGGTGATCGCGGCAACCGCATTCTGTTGAGGGGTGCGGAAAACCGGTGTCCCTTCGACGTCTTGTTGGCCGATGAGATCACGCGCTCGGCGCCCTGCTTCCAAAGCTCGCTGACGTCGATCCTCAGCCTCCTTCGCGGTCCGCTCACGGTCCTGCTGCTCACGCCGTAGCCGTTCTTGTTCTTGTGCTTGATGCTCCTCCTCCAGTCGGTGACGTTCTTCGGTCTCCCGGGCTTGGCGTTGCTCCTCCGTCTCATTATTGGCCATGAAAACGCCAAAGTAGAGAGGAGTGTAGTTGTCATCTAGGCTTCCGTCGAAGTCGTCGAAGTCGTTGAAGTCGTTGTAGCGAGAACTAAATTCGTCGTACTCCACGATGTCAGTAGGACGTGAGTCGATGGTGGGAGAGCTGTTGTAGTCATCCAGTTGATCCGTCGAAACCGTGCCGAGTGGTTGGAGGATGACGCCGACTTCCCTGAAGCTAGGCGAAATCGGTGTTGAAGCCGACTTCCGCCTAGGCCTACGGGATGAAGACGCTGTGGTAGTGGAGACGGCCGCTAAATCGTCGGGGAGCTTCATCAGGACTGGTGGGTAAGCCCCATCATCTTGATCTGGTGTTGTTGGAGAAGATGCGATCTCGGCCGAGTGGTTTGAAGCCGACTCGGTTGAGATGGTCTTGAAGTAGCTTTCAGCCGCGTTCGGGAATCCGAACGAGACCGAAAGCCGGTTCTCTCCCGACTGGTCTGATTCCGAGTCGAGGAGAGAAATCTTGCCGAAGTTGTTGGTGACGAAGTCGAGGCTGCCGAACCAAAACGTCTGCCCGGGAGGGAAGACGAGGTCGTCGATGCCGGAGACGGAACCCATTGCACTGATCGGCGAAAAGCTTGACGCAACCCCTACCTGGCGCGCCAACTGTCGAAACTAGATTTCAGCAATAATAAAAGGGGGTGGCTATCAAGCTAGGAAAGTGTATGGGTTTGAAGACAAAAGGATTTATACAGGTTCAGGCCTTCTTATAAAAGAAGTAATACCCTACTCCTGTCCGGGGATGAATCCGCCGAGTGTGTTATTGATTGTATGATTTGGAGAAAATCCAACCTCTGCCCCTAGAGGCACCCGGACCCCCCTTATATATGGGAAGGAGTCCGTATTACAAAAGATAATCTATATCCCTAACGGAATAGGAAGATACAGATAAAACACAGTCGTGACCGACTAAGTCTCAGGGTGTTTCCTTGATACACAAGTTAAGAAACAAACCCGAGATACAAATAAGATATTCTATCTACATTAGGTATCCTGTACCCAGTCCAAATACTATCGCCGTGTAGATATGGGATATCCATAATCTCCACAAGGCTATTCCCCCTAAAGCTCGGATTAATTAGTGGTTAGGCCTCGCCTCCTAATAAACTACTGTATGTTAAGTATGCATGTTATACTGATTAAAAATAACTTTACCCGGCTAACTAATTAAAATATACTAGAACCCTCTATACAACATACTTCCTCCGTTTCTGGACGCCGTTGACTTTATAAGTATATATTTGACCGTTCGTTTATTAAAAACTTTTATGAAATATTTAAAACTATATGTATACATATAAGTATATTTAACAGTAAATCAAATGATAGGAAAAAATTAATAATTACTTAAATTTTTTAAATAAGACGAACAATCAAACATATTAAAAGGTTATCGGTGTTAAATATTTAGAAACGAAGGGAGTATATAAACAAATTTACATATACTATAGAAAACAATGTATAAATCAATTATCACCAAAGTCAACCCATATACTGTAATCTGCCCTCTCTGTCCCCCAAAATTCTTTTGTTGCTGCTCCGTGTGCTAATTCATAAGACCAGATGTTTGTACCACATGTATCAAGGTACGTATCTGCGCAGAACGGTAACTTTGGTACAAATGCCAATTCGCCATCGCGAGCAACAAGGTCAACGTGGACGGTCTCAGGCCACTGGTAGAATCTTGGAAGGAATATCATATTCTGCATCCAGTTAAACTTGGTCTTCTTCATCATCGTTGTTAGAGACCCGGTGAACACTGTCTGGCTATGCAAGCTATCTACCTTCTCCCACTCCATGCTTTGCTCGTTAAGCTTGACGAGATGGACCTTCTTCCCACGTCGTTCAATCGCTACAACCATTAATTCACCTTGGTTGGACTCGAGCAAGTAGCTGTCTTCACATTTGAAACCGAAGCTATTAGGCTTGTCAAGAATCTTAAATCCTTCATGGTGCCTGCAAGGATCATAAACTGCTAACCTTCCATCTTGAGCTAGAAGGTATAGCAAGCTGTTATGGAGAACTGGATTGGTGCCCGGCGATGCCTGAAGTTGCGACCAGTCGGGACTGTTCTCCGCCAAATTCCAGTCCTCCCACTCGTCACTGTTTGTTCGGATGGCACTAGCAACCTCAATTGTGAACATCGCCTCTATACCAAATAGCCTCTCATCACGGTCGGAGACAACAAAATTAAACAGCGCATAAGGTTTTTGTGGCAACACTTCAACGAGGACGCCGCTGACGAGGTCGATATCAAACACCGAGGATTTATCCACGCGCATCTTGAGGTGTCGTCCGGTGGAGCAGCAGATTTTCGCGCCAGGCACCTTCAGAGTGTCGTCGACCTCGAAGTTCTTGTCGTAGTAGGGGCTATAGTATCGGATGTTGGCGGTGCCAACCTCGGCGGTGTTGAGCAGGAGCGGCGTGATCCACGCCGGGTAAAAGGGACACAGCGACGCGGCGTAGCGCCAGTGCCGGCACACCAACGCGACGATCGGGTGGCTCGACCACCGCAGACTCCCCAGAATCAGGACGAGCACGTCCGCCGGGAGAGACGACCAGCCCCGAGCCTGTGACGACGATGCGGCGGCGGCCTCCATCTAGCTCGATCGCTTGCTCGATCTCGCCGGTTTAAACCCAGTACTGCCGGCCTGATCAGGAGAGACGACGTGCGTGAGCGCGGTGTGTCTTCGTCTGCCAATGGCGTTTTCTTTTTTAAACATTACAGTGTTATGGAGTATATCGTGGTGTGCCGCGCGCGCGCGGGAGCTTATATATGTACGTAGGGCGTAGTGGAGCGAAAATACCAATCGGTTTACATGTGGAGTTGCAATGCGATACGAGTTGTCCGGGGAAAAATTAACAAACCTACACGTAAACGTACGTACATACGTGTGCCGCTGGCCGGCACGGTATAGCTCTGCTGCACGTACGGTCGGCAATTTGGAAAGGTGATTTTCCTTAGAAAGGGATCGGATTTTTTTTAATAGATTAGCAATAGTGCACGTGCGTTGCAACGGGAAAAACACTGTTTGATAATGTGACACCTTGAAAACCTCAAATCTATATTAACAAATAGGTAGAACCGAGTCTAATTTAATGAATTAGCATAGGATTTAGGATTTAGTTTTAGATTTTATTTTTCGAGCCTACTTAGGAGTTTATCCGACGGAGTTTAATTTAAAATATCTGAGCCATATTGTTTGATCAAATATACTTTCGGCCCAGGTCTTCCCAAGCCGGCCCAAACTTGGGCTGGCCCATCTTCGGCGAGCCGAGTCAGTTCGACGGCCCGCAAGCTGAGCAGCTGACCGCAGCACATATGCGGGGATGGTCTGATGCACTTCCGCGGCCCATTGGGCGCAGCGTAATCTGCTGCGGCGGCGGTGACCCAACGCTGGGTAAATCTGAACCGTCCGATCTAATATGGACGGCTCTGATCGTCCCCTTGCCGGATGAAGTGCCGACCAGGAGAGAGGAGCAAAACCCTAGCTCCCAAATCCCTCTTTCTCGATCACATTTCTCTTCGGCGATGAGCGAGCGGAACGACGGCGAAGGCGGTCCGGCGAGCTGGTGTGCGCGTGTGGTGACGCCCGTCGAGCAGCTCCTGCTTCGCCGGCTGGGGGACGCAACCGAGGGCGGCACAAAGCCGTGCCACGGCGTCGGTGGTCCGGCTAGGCGGGCGCGCAAACGGCGATGAGCGCCGAGCGGCATGGAGCTCTCGGCGGGAGGGGCGACGCCAAGCCGACGCTTCCCGTCTTCGGCAAGGGATGGTGGAGGGGTGCTCCAGGACAACGCATGCACAAGGAACCCAATGTGACTGCGAGGAGGTGAAGGTGCGGCGGTGCCACTTCCCGGAAAACTCCGGTGAGCTTTGGGACTTCAAGTGCGGTAAGTAACCCGAACCCTTAGCTTAATTGATTTGGATTTTTGACTCTTAGGGTTCTTACCCGAAATTAGGTTTCTTCGAATTTGGGGAATTTTGTCGGGAAATTTCAATCTATTTTATTCCCTCTTTTCGAGTTATGCGAGTTTCAATATCGTTTATCCACTTTTAATTTTGGGAACTTCAATCTAGTTTATCCCTTTGCTCAATTTATTTTTTTTTTTTTTGCTTTGGCCGGCGTTTCATCACGCGGGCGGGGACGGAGGGCGCCGCTCGGTCCCGTCGAAAAGATTGAGATTAAGATAAGATGATATTTTCACAGACGACGGAAGTAAATTCAATTTAATTTTGGGAACTTCAATCTAGTTTATCCCTTTGCTCAATTTCTTTTTTTTTAACTTTGGCCGGCGTTTCATCGCGCGGGCGGGGACGGAGGGCGCCGCTCGGTCCCCTCGAAAAGATTGAGATTAAGATAAGATGATATTTTCACAGACGACGGAAGTAAATTCAATCGTAAGATACTATTTTATTCTTTTTTGTTTTAATTTTTTTACCCTGTTTTGGTTTCGTTATTACGGATGATGGAAGCGTTTTCAATATTTAAGCAGTAGAGATAGAGATATATAGGCTGTATTTAGATCCAAAATTTGGATCCAAACTTCCGTCCTTTTCCATCACATCAATCTGTCATACACATACAACTTTTCAGTCTAATTTCAACCAAAATCCAAACTTTGCGCTGAACTAAACACAACCATAGTACAATGTCACATATAATAGTATTCGATTTTTTTACCGCGTCACATATAATTCCTTTTTTTTAATTGGACAGAATTCATTTTTTTATTTTTTTTCCGCCCTTTTTTTACCCTGTCCACGAAATCGGATTCTTTTTTTTTCCCTTTTTTTCACCTGATTTTTTTCGCCTGATTCCTTTTTATCGGACAGTCGGTTTTTTTTTTCGCCTTTTTTACACAGGATCGGATTCATTTTTTTCCCCGGTTTTTTCTCACTCGATTTTTTTATGCCTGGTTTTTTTATTTTTTCGCCCTTTTTTTACCGCGTCCACGGAATCAGATTCTTTATTTTTACCCGATTCTTTTTTTCTATCGGACAGATTCGATTTTTTATTTTTTTTTTTGTGTTTTTTACACGGGATCGGATTTATTTTTTTCCCGGTTTTTTCTCACCTGATTTTAATCGCACCCGGACGAAACGGGGAGAAGTGACGATCTGAAAAATACTAATCTTTTAATTAGTTAAGATTAAGATAAGAAAAGAAAAGGCCAGTGATTTTCCTTGTATTTATATGGGTAGCGTTTATGTGCAAGCTAGACATTTCGCATGGATATATAATTTGTGTTGATTATAACCTGTCACACTAATCAACGATAAAAATTAATTGTATTTAAAACTTTTATATTTATGTGTTTTTAGCGACGTAAAAGCTAATGTTACAAATCTCTACTACTTAAAAAAAATTTAAATGATTTTGTCGTCCATTCTATCATGGCAAAAAAAATCGGACCTGAAGAAAAAAGAGCGAAATTAAAATAATCGGTCCTATTCCTAATCACAAAAGGACAAAAGATCTAATAAAAAAGATAAAAATATGTCCCACCACACCTTGCGCTTGCTTCGCTTCTCCCCCTTCCGATCTCTTTTTTGCCCTTATTGTTTTAAAAAATAAACAAACAATTTAAATTACTAATCACAAAAAGACAGTGATCTATCTATCTACTACTTTACTTAAAAAAAGAAGAGGTGCTTCCATCGTCCGTCAAAAAAACCGGGTGAAAAAAACCGGACAAACAAAAACCAGTTTGTCCGATAAAAAAACCGGTAAAGAAATTTCCTTCGTCCGTACAGAGAAAGGAAAAATACGCGCGAATAAAAAAGTGCGTGCAAAAATAGTTTCTGTCCGATTCCAAAATAAAAAAAATTCCAAGCGAAAAAAGAGTTTCCATCTTCCTACAAAAGGAAAGAATAGTGCGAAAAAAAAAGTTTCTATCCGAAGGGAAACACGCGCGAATAAATACCTAATTAAAAATAAATATCTATCTCTAAAAAACCTTCTGTCGTAAAAAAAGAAAAAAAAGACCGACTCCCGTAGAGAAAAAAAAAGTCCGACTCGTGAAAAAGAGGTTTTCTCGTCCGTAATAAAAAAAAGGAAAAATACATCTAACTCAAAATCCGTAAAAAGAAAAGGAGGAAAAAACGACCCGGCCAAACTTAAAGTCGCCTTGTTGTCCGTATATATCTCTTTAACTCTAATCTAATCTATCAATCTAATCTAACTTTTTAGAGAGAGAAGTTTCCATCATCCGTTAAAAAGGAAAAAAATGCGCAAGAAAAAAATAATTTCCAAAAAAATGCGCGGGAAAAATACGGTTTCCTTCGTCTGAAAAAAACAAAAAAAATGCTATTAAAAACTATCAGAAAGAAATACACCATTTCTAAAAAAAATGGTTTCAAAAAACCACAAAAGAAAAAAAACTGTTTATAAAAAAAAGCCGCTCTGAAAAAACTAACCGATGAAACACTGTTTATAAAATAACAGATAAAAAAACAAAACGACTCAACACGCGAAAAAAACCGCTGTTTTAAAATAAGGTTCGAGAAAACCGTCCGACTTAATGCGAGAAAAAAACCATCATTTCAAAAAAAAAATAGAGGAAACCATCCAACTCAATGCGAGAAAAAAAAAAGCCGCCGTTTATAAAAAGAACCACTCCGAGAAACCGTCCGACTCAAAGCGAGATAAAATTGATGGACGCTTGGGTCGGATAAGATCCATCGATTTTTTTCCATCTCCTACACATCATTTCCTACACATCATTTGTTTTCTCATCTAATCCCTGCACTTTTTGTATACAATAATCATTATCAGACTTTTTTTAATAACATATTATATGAAAATAGTATTAAAAATAAACATATTTTTAATTGTTATTTAGAGAAGAGTGCACTGTGACTATTTTGTGTAGACTTGATCCTGAGTGTAGGATTTGATTAACCTATTATTGGTTGCAAGAATAAGATTGAAAGAATATTTTAGATTATATGTATATTGTTATATGAATAATCCAATTATTTTAGTTAAAGCAAGCATTGGTAAAAAGATTGCCATCATCGAGTTTGGTCATTACATAAAGATGCTCTAATTTTCTAATTGTGTTAGCTACAACGATCCATAGAAACATTATCATTGATATGGGTACGCTTGAAAAATGTCAATTGTCATTGGATTATTTTTTTACCCGTTGCAATGCACGGGGCATTTTTACTAGTATATAATAAAAGAACGAAAATATGTCTCACCACATCCCGTTCATGCTTTCTTTCCTCGTGATCTCATTTTTTTCTTTATCTTTATCTTTACATACATATTTAAAATATTTGTAGTGTTTCTATTATTCGTCACTGTCTAGCGTACATCGACGGTTTTCGTGTTTCTGCATTGGCGCCCTAGCAGCACGTGCGAGCTTGATTGCTTCCAAACCAAAATTCACCGCTTCCACGTCGACGGTCAATCATCCCATGTGTCAGAATCCAATAGGCTCCACACGCATCACATCCGATTTGCCTTCCCATGCCAAGCAATTTTGTGAATCTACCATTTAAACGATGTCAAAGGATCGCCAACTCGTGAATTAGGAAATAACAAAGTCACTAATATAACAAATATACAATAGTAACAAGCCTCATAATCCA